ATGTATAGCTCACAAGGTTCTCTTATTAGAACATGCATGTGTCTATCTCACAAATGTCTTATTAGAAATGCCTGTGTCTCCTGTCTCTTACTAATACATTTATCCCTATTATTTCATTTACTCATCTCAAATGAAACAGCTGACCCATATTTAAATAAAGCTGATGAAAGACTCGCAAGCTTTACTTTGAAGGCGTCTAAGAAGGGAAATAGGCTTTTAAGTGCTGGATACTTTTCACTGGTTCAGTTAAAGGTTAAAAGCAGTCTGAATTTCCTGGCAAATTGTCTAATGGCAGCCATTTTGGAGTCGCTTGATGGAATGCTCTGCCCCAGGAAGAGCAGCCAGTTTCTTGTTCTTATTACCGCTCTGCCTCACTTCCGCCTCTGGACGGTATTTGCTGGAACTGCAGGACAGGGTCATCACGACCTGGCCGCCTTCTTCTGTCAGCCTTGCAGACTGAGGGCTAATTTCCTGGAATCATTTTTTAAAAATGAATGGGAAATAGCGCCGTGCGTCACTTCAAGTCGGAGGTGACAAGATCATCTCTGCCCCCCATTTCCTGTCCCACTGCAACAGCGCTAGGGGCCTAACTCCAACTGGGCAGAGGCATTTGACGTAAAATTGGAGCAGTAATTCGGTGACAGGCTGTGAATCCCATGGTCTTGCTCAGTTTAAAGTAGGGGATAATGACTTGGGTTTTTGTTGTTGTTGTTTGTTTGTTTGTTTGTTTTCTTTTAAGCATAGGGAGGAGGGAATCTGCTGTTCGGGCACATTTCCAAAATACTTCTTTAAAAACAACAACAAACCCTAGCATTTTCTTTTTGTAAGTAAAAGTGGGTCTCCGAGCATTTTACACCAATTAACGGGAGAGGTAAGTGGTGCTGTGAGAATCTCTAGTTTTAAGGCCGGCCTGAGCTGCGTAAGGAGACCCTCTTTCAAAAATAAACTAATTTTTAGCGTGCTGCATAGGACCAGCTTTTCTTGATCGCCGATGTCCGTTATCGTTTGCACATGTTAAAAGGTTCTGGCCTGTTACTGTTTCCGCAGTTGCCTTCTCTTGACTCTAGTTTGGCTCTTGCTGGCAGTTCTGTTCACTGCATTGGTGCAGCTATACCGAATACACTGTGATGCTTACAGCCCTGTCCTTGGCCCTCATCTTTTCTTCCTTGTGGTTCTAGCTAGCGCTGGGCTTCAGGCTTAGGGGCCTACTGGACTGAGCACTGGCACGTGGGTACACTGTAGGTGTCCTGCGTGCTCCCTCCCCACGGAACTGCCATGTACTCCTACCCCGCACCCTGGACATCAGTCACCTCCCCAAGTGGCAGCACCCACAAAGCTGCCTGGAAGGAAGGCCAGCCTGCCATTCACACTTACCTCTCAGCATGTTTTATCATTCCCCAGATCTCACCCGTCCTCCGCTCCACAGCCACTTCCTTTGGGGGCCACGTCTCCCCACAGGGTAGTCCCGATGGCTCCCGTGTTGTCCTCTCCTCACTCCTCACCGTGCTACAGGAAGCGTGAGCCTCCCACCTGTGTCTGAACCACACGAGCAGGGCTGAACAGTCCCTGTTGCTGCCGAAGGCCTGACCCAGCCGGCCATTTGGGCAGTAGGTGTCTGCTGCCACTCCCCCCCCCCCCCCGCCCCGCTGCCACCGGATCTGCCCAGACCCTGCCGCCGTCATCATAGTCCTGGCCTTTGCTGCTTGCCCTTATCTGCTTCAGGGTGTGGCTCATTCCCACTCTGAACCCCCTCTTCTGATCATCCTTACTCTCCTCGGACTGGCAGCTCGTTTGTCTACACCTGCAATAGAGATGTTTCTCAAGTAAGTTGCCTCCACTTCCTCCCGCCCTGCCCTCCACCCAGCCTCTTTCCCCAGCCACGAACTGAGGTTGTCCAGGTCGCCACTTGCCTCTCGTTGCCTCACCTACCCACCCTCGTGGCTTCTGCCTTCAGAATGCAAGCACCAGGAGGGCCTGGCCTTCTCTGCCACTCACCTCAGCCCTCCAGCTGGCCCTTCTCCATGGCACCTACTGGGTTCCTGTCCCTCAGCTCTGCAGGGCAGGCGTGTGCAACTAACAAGGGCACTCTGTAGTGTTTCACATTTAAGTGTAACAAATCCTGCCATGGGCTGTGGAGCACAGTGGTGACAGGATTCTAAAAACTTGTTCTGCTTAGAGGGTCGGCAGAGATCTGCCCGGGATCGTATTGACTAGACTCCTAAGAAAGGAAAGGGAGGGAAGGCAGACGGCTTGCACACAGAGCGCATGTGGAGTGAATGGACAGTGACCTGGGAGGGGTGGGGGGTGGCAACAGTTGTCATCGGTCTAGATTAGCAGTTCTCAACCTGTGGGTCACATCAGATATCCTTCCTTCCAGGTATTTACATTACAGTTCATTGCAGTCATGAAGTAACAATGAAATAAGTTTATGGTTGGGGGTCACCACAGCATGAGCAACTGTATTAAAGGGTCGAGGTATTAGGAAGGTTGAGAATCAACGCTCTAGGTACATGCTGGTGGTTCTGATTTCCAACTTCCTGTCTACTAATGGATGTAACCAAAACCATTAAGGTAGCATCCTTCCTCAACTGTAATATTACATTACTGTTTCTGGTTTTGTTTTGGAGTTAGGATCTCTGTGTGTAGCCATGGCTGTCCAGAAACTCACTCTGTAGACCAGGCTGGCCTCGAACTCAGAGATTCGCCTGCCTCTGTCTCCTGAGTGCTGGGATTAAAAGCATGCACCACCACGACCCAGCTTCATTTTTAATAGATACTTTGAATTGGGTCTTCAGTTGAAAGGAATAATGAGTTACCTAAGATAGAAAGTCACTAGGAGCTATCTGGCTGTATTTGGCTCTGAGCATCTTTGAGTAGTCCTCCGTCTTCTCAGGAGATTGTGGACATCTTGCCTGTCTTCATGCTTTACCTTCTTGATCTTAGTGTAAATAAAAAGCTGCTCTGTTTGGGGCATTCTTTATTTTGGAATGCTGTTATTTTCCCCCTCTCAAAATTGATTTAGTTGTGGTTGAGGGGAAGCCTGGAGAGCCGGCTGTCACCTAGATGGTATTTCTGAAGAGCCTCCAGCTCTGGGAAGAAACTGGATAGGAGCCGTCCAGCTAAGAGTCGTCGTCCTTCAATCTCAAACTCAAGAGCACTCACCCTGGAAAACGACTTGACTGGTCAAAGGAATCTTACAGAAAGAAGGTGGGAACAGTTGCCAGGCTAAATGTTTCAAGTAGAAAGTGGGATAAATTACAGCTGTCAGTGATGGTTTCTAGACCATTTTAACGGTTTCTTCTAAAATGGTGGTCACTATTTAGTAAAGATGACCATTTTTTTTTTAATTCTAGTTTTTAATTTGACAGCTTACCGCCATTAATCTGATTGCCAGTGTGCAGACTTCACCTGTCTGTTTAGACGGTTGTGTCACAGTGGCCCTGTTTCCTCCAGGAAGCCCTTCTGGCTTGGAAACACCATCAGCAAGTCACAGACTCAGGAGGCCACTATGTCCCCACTTCCCAGCTGCCCCGCTGGGCACCTGCTTTCCCGGACTGCATCCCCGCAGTGGACGGAGCGCTCTTGGAGTCTGGCCATAAAATACCGATTTTGCCAGGTGACGATGACAGGGCTACATGCACCTAGAACCCTCATTCTGGGGGAGCAGATGGCTGGGATCCCAAGAGGACATGCCCCGGGCATTCGTCACATGGTCAGAACTGATTGGTGCAGGAGAAAATGCCATGGCGTTTCCCAGGCATTTGCAGTTTATTAGGTTTGTCATAAAATCTCCTCAAAGATTTGAAATTAGTTCACAAGACTGTCCAGGAAAACACAGAAGAGATGAGATATGCCGGTGTCAGGGTTGCGAAGTAATTGTATTTCACTACTTTAGTAATCTAATTTATACATTGACTACAAGTTGATCTGCCATTCCATGTTCATTTCAAAGGCACCGTCATTCGAGTAGAGGGCTACAGGGCCATCTTTCTCCTCAAGAAACCGCGGGGCTTGGGGAAAGATTTCTCTTGTTGTTTATCTTTTCATTTATGTGAATGAATGTGTGAGTCTGTAGTCCCCAAGGGGACTAGGTACCCACAGAAGCTGGAGCATGTCAGGTGTCCCTGCAGCAGAAGCTAAAGGCAGTCAGGCTGCCTGGCGCGCGTGCAGAGACCCCAACCTAAGTCCAGTCCGCAGGGGCCCTGAGCCCTTAGCCATTGATCGTTTTGTTCTTTTTAATTCGCTCAGTCACGGGCTTTCCTCTAGCGTGAGAAAGAAGAGCATGATCATGCATTCAGCTTGGACTGACACGCCTGTCCCCTCTCCCGCTGCCCTTGTCCGGGTGTGTACTTGGTGTGTAATGTCAGGGCAGATGGAACGCAAAATATTTCCACATGAGCCAAAGAATCCTCGTTCTGAACGTTTTTTTATATTGAAGATGTATATATTATACATCCGTCTACCTACAACAATGGAATTGGAATCACTGCACACAGTATTCTTTTGTCGTTGTTGTTAAATCATATTAAATGTAAACTCACTGGAGATTTGTGTGGGGGAGGGGGAAGGTCCTCCAGCCTGATACCCTGAATAGGAACCCGTTTCTCCCGCCATGCTGTCTCTTGGTAGCCACCTTTGTTGCGGCACAAGGGTTCAAGCCTTATTTTCATCTATTGTTGCCAGAACCATTCTTGATGTACACACTGAGAACAAAACAATTAATTCCAGGGGTCAGGGTTGGGTGTTATATGTCAGCATTAAAGGGTATGCGTCTGTAAAACTAACTCCAGTATTCCCTTGCTGGGGGTGAAAGCCCCTTAAAAACTAGCCTTGGCGCAGGCCTGCAGATGCTACCGCAGGAAGACCCAGCCTGCGCCGAGCCCTGGCGCTGCACTGTTGGATGGGGTCTGCGCAGCCGCAGTGGGATCCGAAGCTGCACCTGTACCGCAGGGCAACGACCGTTCTGGCCTCAACCGTCTTCCTCTCCGGGTTCACTTCTTCACCAGGTTCACCTCCTCCACCTGTGTGAGAAGCCATGGCCTGGGTTGCAGGCATCCTGCGAGCCAGCAAAAGAGTAGGTGCAGCCGGAGTGGATATCGGGGTCCTGAGCGTAGCTCCGCGGCTCAGTCCGGCGCTGCGTGTCTCCCTCAACCGGACCTGGTGGAGCGTTACTCCCGCGTCCACCATGGCGACCGTGAAGGGTGAACTTATCGAGCACATCAGCTCCGAACAGCCCGTTTTCCACAACAAGGTCTCCATCATAGGAACTGGGTCAGTCGGCATGGCCTGTGCCATCAGCATCATAGCTAAAGGCTTGACTGATCAGCTGGCCCTTGTTGACAGTAATGAAGAAAAAATGAAGGGTGAGACGATGGATCTCCAGCACGGCAGTGTCTTCATGAAAATGCCAAACATTGTTTGCAGCAAAGATTTCCACGTCACCGCCAACTCAGAGGTAGTGGTTATCACAGCAGGTGCACGCCAGGCAAAAGACGAAACACGCCTGAATTTAATCCAGAGAAATGTAGCCATCTTTAAGGTGATGATTGCCGATATTATCAAGCACAGCCCCCGTTGCAAAATGATTATTGTCTCCAATCCAGTGGATATCTTAACTTATATCACCTGGAAATTGAGCGGGTTTCCCAAAAACCGTATTATTGGGAGTGGCTGTAACCTAGACACTGCTCGTTTCCGTTACATGCTTGGGGAGAGGCTTGGGATCCACTCGGAAAGCTGCCACGGGTGGGTCCTCGGAGAGCACGGAGACTCAAGTGTGCCAGTGTGGAGTGGGGTCAACATCGCCGGGGTGCCTCTGAAAGACCTGAACTCCGCTATAGGAACCAGCAAAGACCCCGAGCACTGGGGAAATATCCACAAGGACGTGATCGCCAGCGCCTATAACATCATCAAGATGAAGGGCTACACGTCCTGGGCCATCGGCCTGTCTGTGGCTGACATTGCCGAGAGCATCCTGAAGAACCTCAGGAAGACGCATCCCGTTTCCACCAAAATCAAAGGTCTCTACGGAATAAAAGAGGAGGTGTTCCTCAGCGTGCCCTGTATCCTGGGAGAGAACGGCATCTCTGATATCATAAAGGTAAAGCTGAGCCCTGCAGAGGAAGCCCAGATGATAAAGAGTGCAGAAACGCTTTGGAAAATTCAGAAAGACATCAAGTTTTAAGCCTTTCTTCTAAAGATACTGAAGACAACAGACAAAGTCCATGCCGATGTGGGGGGAGAATGGGAGTCCTGAAGGTTGGAGGTGTCTTGTTTGTTGTGTAGCACCCTGCTGTGGGTGACAATTTCTGAGTGACTGCATTAAAGGTTTTTTTGGTGTTTGAGTTACTGGTTCTTGCCTGTTGTTGTGGCATTTAAGAAACTGGTGGCTTTCGTTAGACTGTGAACAGGTACTAGTCCATTCTGGTTGACTTATTATCTACTCCTAGGCCATTTTAAAAAGTAACTCCTGTGGGCTGGAGGGATGGACTAGTGGTTAAGAGCACTGGTTGCTCTTCCGGAGGTCCTGGGTTCAATTCCCAGCACCCACAGGATGCCTCACAGCCGTCTATACTGGGATCTGATGCTCTCTTCTGGCCTAACGGCGTACATGCACACAGAACACTCATACACCTAAAATATAAATAGACCTTAGAAAAAAGAACTCCTGCATATGCAAATCTGTAACATGTTTTGTGATACATTTTGAGACTGCCTTTGTTGTTTTGGAATGGCTTTCCATTTCCTCTTTCACAACCCCGACATGCCATGGTAGTGTGGGCAGCACCCATGTGCACATGTATGCAGTGCCGAGTGCAAACACATCCATGCAGTCACGCCTGCCCCCAGCTGGATGACACGCTTGTCTGGTTACTGGAAGCCTCCATCGCTGTCTTCAGAGGGCAGCACTTGCTCTGCTCATTGTGGAGGGGGAGTTTTGATAAACATCACCAGCACCTAGTATGCAGACTCTAGGCCACAGTGCCGGCTGTCCTCAGTCCGGGCATACTGATTGCATGGCCCCGAGGAAGCTCTTGGAGTGTGAAGGATAGCAGTATTAGAGGCATAATCTTGGTTCTATTGTAACATCTAGAATATCCATCAGACCGAGTTCCCTCAGTGTCCACATTTCCAATAAATTACTTGTGATAGCTTTCCCAGTTGACATGAGGATTTCAGGACAAGGTCCCCGGAGCTGTAGATGAATTACTCCAGGGAATACAATTATGCCTTAACCCTTGCATGGAATACCTCCTGAAGTTTGCAGGGAACAGCCTGTAGCTGCCCACAGAGGCCCTGCTTACAAGGGTGACCCTGCAACCCATCGCATGGAAACCTACCTGGTCAGAGCAGCAAGCGAGGAGCACGCTACAAGGAGGAGATGCAAAGTTCTGCTTTGGAGTCATGTGACCAGAATGCTCACAGTCATCAAATTCTGGGTGCAGAGGGAAAGTTCCATGGCAGTAGCTGTCACTTATCCTTAGTATGTTTAGGTCCAGATTAAACTTAATTATACTCAACCTTTAAATCTTTTCTCAATGGCATCTTTAAATAGGGAAATGACCCATTGACCTATGTATGACTGGTAGATATTTGACATAGATACTGTCCATATAAATATAAACACAAACTTGAAACCTCATGGAGCCCCTTTGTTTGAAGCAACTTGAGAGCCTGTTTATTACGTAAGTGTGGACTCTGGGTTTCCATCCCCACACCTTGAAGGCACAGGGCTCAGCTGTGTCCTTTATCCCACGTCCTCAGAGTCCACATCTGAGATGTCCCACATCTCAGTCTGAAGCCTGACGACTCCTGGCTGGATGACTTTCAGATATGATCCCTTCTAGTCACTCATTTATGACCTCAGGAGCAAACAATAATACAATACTCGAGGGCTGAAAGACGGATGAGGGGTCAGGGATGAGGGGTCAGGGCATCCCCGCACACCCACCTCCCAGCCTCATCTGTCCTTCCTGCCTCTCCCTTCCCAGCAGCTGATGACAAGGACCACTGATGAGGGGTCGTGGGAAACAACTGTGCTTATACTGCAAAGCTACACAGTCCAACACAGCTTGTAAAAGACATCAGCCAGAAAGGCAAGGAACAGCATACTGCAAACCGTGGCCAGAGAGTCACTGGGGCTTTCAGTTCCAAACATCTATGCCAAGCTCCTTAGTAGGCCGTGTGATTGGCATTTCAGACAAGCAGGCAGTTCTTTCTGAGAATCTTGGATGTCCAGCATCTGTGTTACCCTGCCACCAGATGCATATGGTGGTCACGGCGGCAAACTGTGATCACAAAGGGGAGCCCCCCCCCCGTTGTAGCCCCTCTGCCGGGACGAAGCACCGCTGCCTGTGGAGAAGGCCCATGAAGGCTCATCATAGTGCGGCCCAGAGGAAGTGGGAGGGCGAGGCAATGCCCATGTGCGCACCCAGCCAGATGCGCACTGGGAAATGTGGTGCTTTGGGGGCTCAGTGGTGGAGCGTTTGCCTAGGTATGCAAAGATTAGCTAATGGGTCTAGAGCATGCAGATGGTTGGCCCTCCTACAGATGCCATAAAATGGAGAGAATAGTCACACCAAATGGTCCTAAGTATACAGCCATGCTTTTAGTAAACACGCCGCCATGATATTTACTTTCACGTGGGTTTGGTTTCGGAATACAGCACACACATGTGGGTAATGCTACCGTGGCCATGGCCTTCACAGACTGAGGACTCACCGTGAGCTGGGGGCTGCATTGGCGTCCACTGCCTCACCTTGTCCTCACAACTCTCCAGGCGGGTAATTACTATCCCCTTTCTGCATATGTGGGTGCTGGTGAGGAGACAGAGGGGCTGGGATAGGAGCGATGGTCTCTCTGCCACCAATAGTGTCACCAAGCGTACGGCATGGAGGGAGGCTGGGCACTAGCTTAGAATTCACAAATACTGAAAACAGAGTAACCCCTGAACTTGGCAACAGGTAAAGATTCAGCCTCCATTTGAAATAAACACACATTATCAACAGCAAAAAAAAAAAAAAAAAAAAAAAAAAAAGGAAAGAAATATTGCCTGTATCTCCAATAGCCTCCCCCCAGGAGTGATTGGTTGCTTCAGAGTCCTGGAGCTGTGTGAACCTGCTCAGCACCTGTGTCCAAAGGAGAACGTGAATGGGGTGTGGCTGATGGGGTCAGCCTGGACCATGTGTGGTTACTGAGATAGCTCTGTGTGGCAGGATCATATCCACAGAAACGGATGGGCTGGGGTGTCCTCCTACAAATCACCAATGTGCCTACAGGTCTGCACTCCATGGTGTGACCTCCCAGACCTCTTCTTGACACTGGCTTTATTACCCTTCACTGGTGAAATTTCAGTGCCAGTTTTTTCACACTGGCGCATGAGAATATTCTAGTATATCTTTCATTGGTCTTTCTTTTCCTTTCTTTCTTTTTCTTTCTTTCTTTCTTTCTTTCTTTCTTTCTTCCTTTCTTTCTAGCTCCAAACGCCTGTATTTAGATAGACAGAAATTCTATTGTGCGCTGCGTCTCTGTAAATGAAAGCCAACACGCATCCCGTTGTAGACGCACATTATGGAGTGTAGACGTGCATCCTGGGAAGCTGTAGGTTGTAGCTGCCTTCTAGAGCAGGAGTGAAGTGTCTGTTGTTTAGTTAGTGGATTCACACCTGGAGGGACAGGTGTCTGTCACGGTGGGTTGGGGGAGGGGAGTACAGTTCTCAGCATCATTGCTGTTTGCTCGGCAGCCACAAGCATGGGGTGCTCTCTCCACTCAGCAAGAGGCTGCCACTAAGTATTTCCTCCGTTCCTCCCTTCTCCTGACGTCTGACGTTTCTTCTTCTAGATGAAGGACTTTCGAAGTAAGATGCAATCCATATTTCCAACAATTCCCAAGAACTCCGAGTCAGCTGTCAAGTGGGAGGAAGCACTAGAATCCAAGTGAGATGGGCGTGGATGACTCCAGGGGAACAGCAGCTTTGGGAACACCACATCGGGAAGGGACTGGAGTGACTCCTCCAGCAACACGCGCAGATGGCCACGTACCCACGGGCCACGCCATAGCCATCTGTCTGCGTCTATGGCACAGGGAAGGCATGTTTTCCTCGAGCTAAGACGACGGTTTAATTACTAAGCAGTGCCCCTCGAGGAGGGGTCCCAGAGGAAATATTTCTGTTTAGAATAAACCATGTTTCATAACACAAACACAGCGAGACAGAAAATCTTTGTAAGGGCTGGAGAGATCTCCGTGGTTAAGAGTGCACAATGTCCTTCAGAGGAGCCCGGGTCATTTTCCAGCACCTGCAGAGGAGCCCTGGTCATTTCCCAGCACCCACTTGGGATGGCTCGAACCACCCGCAGCTGCAGCTCCAGAGCATTGTATGTGCTCTCTTGGATCTTGTGGGCACACCCACACAACAGTTAAAAACTAAAGTTTAAAAAAAAAAAGAAAAAGAAAAAAGAAAAAACTCAGTAGGTTGTGTGTGTGTGTGTGTGTGCACCTATGCATCTATGTAACAATAATAGAGGTCATGAATTAGAAAGTGAGCAAGGTGGACACACGGCGGAGTTAAAGCAGGGAGGGGGAGGGGGTAAATGGTGTACATGCAGTCCCATACATGAAATTCTCAAGAAAACATTTTTAATAAGAAAAAAATCTTTATGATCAGACTCCCAACAGCAGTACAGATCTCAGTGTATCTAATCAAAGTTTTTAAAGCCTATCTGATCACATACGACTGACTAAGAATATGGAAGGTATGCTCCTATTGGCCAGTCTCCAGATGGTGAATACGGTAGTGGAAATGGGTGCAGCTTGTCCTGAACAGTGTCTGATTCGAAGCTAGTGCTCATGTGCTGAGGGCCTCCCTTGGAGGGTTTGTAAATTCTTACACACCGGACAAAACACCAAGCAACATTTGGTGACGGCTCAGCGACACCGGGGCTGAAACGGTAAGGGTGAAAGTCAAGGCTATGAAACGCACTTTGTCGAGAGACTGGTTCTGAGTCCCTGTCCCCCGACTAACAGTTTGTAGTTTCGTCTCAGTGGTGACAGGAAACACGGCGGAATTACCACCTATCTGAAACAATTTTAACGGGAAGTCACCCGAGCACTGGGTCTTTGGTGCTGTTTCTTAACGGAGTTCATTCTTAGGAGCCCAACCTCTTGTGTGCTCCATGACCCCTTACAGAAAGCTGATGGGAACGATAGCCCACATAGTTAAGGAAGAAAAAGCTCAGTGTGTCAATATGTCTAGAGCAAACCCCTCTGGCTGAATGTCAGGTGTGTAGTTCCTTTAGAATTACCTAGGCCCTAATTAGCCAGCAACCTTGTTCCATAAAGTGCATTCAAAATCTGTTACAGTGAAACCTTTTAGTTCTAAAGGAACTCTTTAAATGAAATGTCAAGGCATAATGTAACATTTTTCTCTAGACCACATCGCCCTGTTAAAATTGCTGTATTGTTAATTAAACAGGTGTAATCGTTGTCTGCGATTCACATGTAACCTGTTAAAAATCCAAGAAAAGATTGTGAGCTTGATCAGCAAGTGTGGAGTGGGGGGGGGGGAACCTTTACCCATCTTTTATTTTTAACCAGTCCTCTGGGGAGAAAAGAATTCCTGGCCTTTGGATGCAGAGAAAGAACGTAGGAGCCAGGTTGGATAGGTGTGCAGAGAGGGCACTGCCTACAGCCCCTCGAGCATTTTCTGTCTAACGACGTTTGAAAGACCTCCACTGGGTAGGAGAAAACGAGAATCCCTGTATTTTCTGACGGGATAAAAAGAGAAACCACGATGATTAAGGTTCTCTCTGCAGGAGTCCTGACTTATAAGCTCCCTGAGGGTAGGGCCTTGTAAACGTGGCAACGCCTGTCACCGGGGTTATAGATGGCAGCCATGCCCTAGCAGGAGCTAGGGGCCACACTGGACGCGCTGCTTTCACCGGCCCTGAAGGAATGTGTGTCAAGGGGATGGCAAGATGCTTGCTTCTGTGGCATGCCAATGTTAAAACTCTGTCCCTACACTTCATATCCCCACAGGAGTGATCTGAATCCCCTGTTAACAGGGACAGCTTTCCTAGAAGAAGGCATAAGCCCCAACTGCCTTGTAAAAGCAAAAAATGAAATAACGGGTGAAAAAAATCAAAGAACAAGCAAGCGGTGTCACTGGGGCGTTTTGCACAGAATTGAGGCGCCAGGGATTTAGTCTATTTCTTTCATACGAGAGGTATGTTGTTCAATTGGTTAATGGGAAGGAAAAATGTTTAAGAGATAATGTTATTCTTTATGTGAGGAGCCATCTGTGTATGGGTCCTCAATGTCCCCGGATACGGAAGAGAGGAAGTGTTGTGAAATTTCACGTCTGCCTTCTTTGCTGTCTTTATCTTGGGCAGAATATGACAAACATAATCACATTGATCTCCTGGAGCATAAAGGGTTTTAATCACCCTATTAACCATGATGACATTTTTCACAGACTTAAAAAGGAATAGAACAGACATTATCTCCCCATAAGCAATCCATTTCATGGAGACTGAGCACTAGAAATGCCGGAGAGGAGGGCTAACACAGCCATTTCCATTTCCTATCTAAGCCAACATTGAGGAGGCTTTCGGTAGACGTGGCTTCCGTTCCATGCATGTTAAGCGTTATTCTTAGAACTGGAGGCTGCTGGAGTAAGCCACGCTGAGAAAACACGGTGGGCATTCAGGAGCACACCTCAGGACTTTTACCAGGAAATAACCCATACCCGAAAAGTTACCGCTGCCCTGTTACATGGCTCACCTATCCAGAGAGCTTCAGAGTAGGGGCACACCCCACCCTGGGGTGTGAGAGTGTGTCTCAGGGCTCACTACTCAAGGTATTGAGCCCTGACTAGAAGAAACATGAACTTCAACAGAATGGAGAGTAAACATCTGCCTTAAGCCCAGCAGAGCTAAGGTGACTTCTGTCACCATCCTCATCCCAGCCCCAAAGCACTCACTTGATGGCACTCGAAAGGAGCTGAACCTGCCCAGCCTAAAGGAGGAGCCAGGCCTGTCACACTGAGTCTATTTGACGGGTGTTTAATCTCACACTTAGTGTGGACTGTATTCGCAAGTTAATCATTGCAACCTAAGACGGGAACAAGAAATTAAGGGAGAGATGGGGGCAAAAATAATTAAAATCCACTGGATGTAGCTATTTCACTTGGGGCAAGATTAAATCTCTCCTAGGTTTAATTCAGAAACAATGGTGTTTATTTCTCATCTTCATGTATTTCTTTTGAAATGGTAAGTGGGGTACCAGTAAAAAAAAAAAAAAAAAAAAAAAAAAAAAAAACCTCTCCAAATGCTTGTTTCCCATGAGAGGTGGTATAACTCATATTTTAGCAGTATTTTATCACCCCTGGTTGAGGAGTTTTTCCTTCCAGCCAGCCAGCAGTCTGAGTGGCCCAGCTACCACTGGGATCTCTCTTGCTGTCCTTAGCATTGCCACCCAAGAGGGGAGCAAGCACCCCTCGCCGCAATGAGGCGGGGGAAATTCCATTTGATGGCAGATGGCTCAGTTTCGAAGGAAATTAGACTACGATACTGAGAAGCATATAGATAGTTCCAGGATTAGCAATGGCGGGGGGGGGGGGTGGCGGGGGCGGCGGGGGCGGGGGGCAGCTGGCTCTATTTATCCTCTCTGCCTGCTAGTCCCGCCTACCCTTGCTTTTGGCCGGTCAGCTCTTTATTAGCGCCACCAGGTGTTTTAGACAGGCATCACAGCTTCACAGAGTTAAACCAATGCGGATAAACGGAAGACACACACTTGAAAACAAGATTCTCCCACAGCACCCAGCCCAGGTTTGTCACAGGCACACGCACGGCTCTGCCTAACACACCACTGACATTCCACTTTCTGTTTCCCAAATGTCTCCCGCACACGAGGCTATTCCCCTAGGAGTCATCAGAATTTAACGTATGAATCTGGGATTGGGTTATCTTTTAGTGGATTTGGTTTGGTTTGGTTTTTCAAGACAGGGTTTCTCTGCGTAGCGCCAACTGTCCTGGAACTCACTCCGTGGACCGGGCTGGCCTTGAACTCACGGAGCTCCTCCTGCCTCTGCCTCCTGACCTGAGTGCTTGGCTATATTAGCTAATCTTGACTGCCAAGTTGATTGGACCGAGGAGCCGGTAGATGATGAAGCATGCCTCTGTGTGCACACGCCAGGGTATCTGCAGAGAAGACTACGAGTCAGGAGGGCTCTGGCATGCTCTGGGAAGGGACTCACAGCAGTCCCACAGTGCGGGGTGTGGGGTAGGACAGGAGGTGGGGCCTGGGGGTAGTAACCCTGGCACTTGCTGTGTCCCTGTTCCCTGGGAGTCACAATGCGCCGCTCTGTCATCCCAACACACACTACCATGACGGACTGAGCCCCCTCAAACCATGGGCCCAAATAAATTCTTCCTCCTGTAAGACGTTCCTGTCTGTTATGGTTACCGAAATAATAAAACTGACAATCAAAGGAAGTAACAGTATGTATATTCTGTGCAGGAGTCCGGTAGCCAAACTTCTCTGTATTCTTAATATTGCTACATGGGTGGGAAGTAAGAGTTGGGTTTAAAAGCCTGGGATCCGGAGGCCTTGGAGAAACACCACACTCCCAGCAGGCAGGAGCATCCTCCTCCAGTTTATTTCTTTAGGGTCAGGCCTAAGTCTGCTCTAAGCACCTGACAAAAACAGTAGAGAAAGGAGGCAGGGGAAGGGGGAGGGGACAGAGGAGTAAAAAAACGGGGTTGGGAATCTTCATGGGGAAGAGCATCTTCATGTCTATACTTAGGGTACAGCCCGGTCCAAGTAAACACCAAATTTGCCTTCTCACCTGTACGGGCCACAACCTAGCTCAGGAAAGTTCAAGAAAATGAATTTCGTCAAAGTGTCCAAGTATTGGTTCCTGGGGGTGGGGTGGGATTTCTAACTCCAGCTTCTAACTGTCAAGCTGCGAAGACATTCTCCAGCTTAGAACAGGAAGGAACACATAGATGAAAGTCTAACCAGTGTTCTTCCAAGGGACCTGGAGTCCCACTCAGGTGAGAGGCAGCCTTGCTGCCCAGAGCCACATCCCCTAGCGAAGGGACCGCCTTTCGTTTCTGAAGCCTCACCCTTCCCATGTGTAGTATTGACAGAACACTCAACCTCGGGTGCTTTCCTAATCTCCAGGGTGGAGAGGTCTGTTTGG